TGTTGTTGTTTGTTTCGTATTTGCGTGTCGTTAATTCATTCCGCGTGCTTTAAAATGCAAAATGTATTTGCGATATTTAAATTTAGTTACGACCGTGAAACAAAAATCAACAAAAAAAAATCTATTTCACGCTTTGCTGGTACTTTTTGTCGGATGAGCGTTCCAGTTTCAGGCTTGACGCATCAAATAAGAGAATAATTATGTAATGCACGTATTGTAAAGCTCTGTGACGGACAGTGTTGCACAACGATTATATAATAGTCTAAATAGAGCATAGTAAAAACATTACCAAAAAAATAATCTGTTTTATAACATTTATTAGATGAATACCTCAAAGTGTCAGGTTTCATCGATTTAAAGATGTGACATTGTAACACTTAATTATAGCAAATTTAGGTTTTGCTACATTTTTTTTTAATTATTTGTTTTGGAAGTAAAAAAAAACAAATATTTTACTATATAACAACATTTAAGTGAAGATTTTTTTAATAATAAACATGTAATTACATAGATATAATGTAGAATAATAAGTTGTAGCAAATATGTTTTTAAATAATTGTATTAGATAGCATAATATGTCGCATAGTCCGGGTATTTTTTTCAACTAACATAATTGAATCTTTGAAACCGGACTCTTCGGGGTATTGATTGTTTAGGAAAAATAAAAAAATATTCCAATCAGTTTTCTCTAGTATTGAGATTTTGAATTAAATTTTATTTTTAATACTTGAATATATAATTTATATACACATATTTCAAATGTTTTAAAAATAGGTAGAAACTATGTCAAGTCTGGACAATTTTTAAACTAACGGACACTTTGTGGTATCAATTGTATAGTAAAACTGGTAAATAATTACTAGAACCTAAAAGAATGGGCGACCAAAAATCAGAATTATTTTTTTAACAAGTATACAATTCAATACACAAAATGATTGACAATTTTAATTTTTATTATTTAATAATGTAGAGATTTTCAACTTTTATACTCCTCAGAAATGTTAATAAATTGAAAATTTAAATGAAACTTTTTTGAGTAAATTACGCAATGTCTCGTATATTACGAGTTTTTTTTTATCAAATACAATAATATAATCTTTGACACCGGACTCTTCGAGGTACCGTTTGTATGGAAAAATTTGTAAATATAGTAGTGCACAGTCTATAGTAAATGGTTTTTTTTTAATGTTCGCAGGTATTTAAAACAGGATTAATTGAGAAAATTAAAACCGTGTAAAAATAAACCCCGCAAAAAGAAACTAGACTGTATAAGGAAAGATCCGATTTTTGCTTATTTAACATTTAGTTTGTGTTGAAATTTTGAAACCATTCTGTTAGGAACTGCATATTTACTTATTTCTATAAAAAGGTGCATTATTTTTATGTTGCTGCGTTTTTAAAGTATTATTTTTCCAAATGAAAGGATTACAGAATGAAAACTTGAAAAAAAACTAAAATTTAACATAAAAGATTGTATTTATGAATGCGCCTTGTGAAGCAGAGCAGAATATGTGATAAATGGAAACTTTGTTCCGTGAAAACCGCTCCAGACTTAAATCTGCACCTGGTAAATGCGAAGTAATTAAACGGGGTTTCATTGGAGTCGCGGACAAGTGTATATATTCGGATGCATTATGTATTTGGTATTGCGTCCATAAATAATCTGACTGTAAAGGGCTTCGGGTTCCGGACAATAAGCCGGCGAACCTTAATCCATGGCCGAGGGCAAACGAAATGTGTTAAAGGCATTTAATTTCGGACCTGCATTACGTGACTACTATTGGAAAAGGTGTTCTGTAGAGGATGGGGGATGGCACGAATACTCTTCTCGGTATAAATCATTGCGACCGCCGTTTCCTCTGGCTTTTGTAAACGAAAGCCATAGGGAATATAATAGGTAGGTGCAGTTCGTAAATGAGGGGTGGTACATAACAATTTGCAAACGCTTAACGTTTGCTAGCGCCCTTCTCTCTCTCTCTGTTTCACTAAATAATTAGACTAATGACTCCCACTGATGGCTTCGTTAATTAGTTGCCTTTGATTGCTTAACGCCGCAGGTTAATTATATCGACGAAGGCTATTCGGATTGACTTAATCCGTTTTTAACCGTCTTCATTAAATAGTTAATAGTTGGTAATAACTTAAAGACGATTGCTGCTGCATTCAATTAAATAGCGCAATACCTCAAATAATCCTGATATTTAATTCAACTAAAATCCAACAATCTTAGAATTCGGACTCTTTGAATTATCACTTATATTGTAAACATTGTAAATTATTTAATTATGTAATGTGTCAAAAGATATACAGCAATACCTCGCATAGTGCGGCTTCGTTCAGGCCTGATTCACAATTTAAAAATATTATTGTTTAAAAATACATAAATGATCGCTGTTATATTTTGTATATATTTAGTTTCTCGATTAGTGCGGTTTCTAAAAGTCAGTGATATATTGTATTGTTGAATATGTAGAAAAAATACTATGATACTTCACGAAATCCGGATAATCTTCGAACCCGGACTATTCGAGTTATCGGTTGCACAGTAAACGTTTTAAATTATTTTAATAACTTTTTTTTCAACTATTGATGATATTCAGCATTACAAAATGAAATTGATGTCAGTGCATAAAGGTAAATGTTTCCACATTTAATTAGATACCGCAATAACTCAAATAGTCCGGATAATTAGAGCAAATTTACACTTTATAATCAAAATAATGAATTCATTTCTTTTACCATATTTTTTTTTAGAATTTATTTTAACTTTGCTCAATTCAATTTAAATTTATTTTAAATTTTCTAAACTGCGCTAAAGTAAATCCGGACTATTTCAACTAAAAAAAAAAGTCTTCCTTAAAAAAAATACAGATGAAATCCAAATGTTAGAAAGAATATAAGAAGTTATGTAACTGAGAGAATTGTTCATTGTAAGGAAACAAAATGCAAGGTAAATCAGTGATTTGGAATCAAGAGGAAAAGAAGATAAGTTCAGGCTAAGCCACTCGAGCAGAACAGATACCCGAAATACACATTTCTAGTAGATTTAACTGTAAGTTACTGGACAAACACTTTCAAAAAAATATATTTTTAGAAAAATGAAAAATATATATTGAATTTATTTAGTAACAAAATATAATTGAGTAACGAAGCAAGGATATTAAATTAATTGTCTTATATAACAAGCTTAATTCTATAAAATCAGCTGTGTAATAAATGTCAAGTATAATTATGTAAATTGTAGGAAATATTTGTGTATGGGTTTTAGTGAGGTATAAAGCTAAGAGGTTTAATACTCTGTCGTTGTATTCCAATGTATTGGATGTAGCAGCAATTACATCAGCTTATACTTTGCAGAGAATCTGCGGTCAGACATTCCGATGGTAAACGTGCTTATTCGAGACACGTTCATATAGTCAATAATGGTATATGGAGCGGAATAATAGTACATTACTACACACTACATAACACGAGATTCCCGTACATTTGCAAGTAAAAGCATGTCGTCTACTGCACATGTCATATTGTCTAAGCGAAAAACAAATGTCAATTGAAATAATGATGATACAACCGACTACAAGTTTAATATTTATAGAAAAAAGTATTTTTAAACTTTTTATAAAATCTGTTATAAAGTCGAGGTAATAAGATAGACGTATTTCTATGGGCAAAAAATACATTTATACTTCAACTAAAGATATATTTAATAACGAAGCTTTCATTATAACGAAGTTCTCAAATTCGAACAAAAAATGACCAAAAGTTGTACTAAAAGAAAAAAGTAGCATCTAACAAATTGGAAATAAAGTTGATCCAGATGACTCTATCAACAGGTTTCTAAAATGTAGAGAAAATTATAAAAATTATTGATCGAGAAACATTTTTCAATGAAAGATTTAGTTAGGAATAAAGACAAATAAAATTAAGATAAAATTAAAGAAATTATTGTTCAAAACTGTTTAGACCCAAAGATTTGGAAAGGTGCTTAAATAACATTAAACACGTTTTATTATTAGTAGCATAAATAATTTTGATTTTATAAAAAGTATTAATGTTAAGTGATCAGTGTTAAATTCAATAACTCCGTACAAACAATTGTTAAATGAAAAAGAAAAAAAAGCATAAATTATATAATTTTTTTTTACTCGACGAAAGCGTTTATTTACGGAAAAGGCGTATGCTGATTGCATTATTTAAATAATATAAATTCTCTAATATTTGACGTATATAAAAAAAATGAAGCTATAATCAAGAAAGAGTAATATTTTAATGTTCAAAATAAGGATTGCTGTAAAAATGGTTTAACGATATTATTATTAATTTGTGTAGAAAATATGATAAAAGGATTACGAGGATTAAGCAGTTAAGATGCGAATGAGGTGCTACTCCGAAAGTAGTAAAGGAAAATTAACAAGAACTTATGTTCCTTGATGGTTCTTTGCTGTAAATATAAAGAAATAAAGGGCTATTCGGAGTATTAAATGTTATGAATATAGTCATAATCTACACTTAGAGTACAAAGGAATATTATCATTTATTTCAGTAAATTAAAATACGGCAGTATCTCGCATAGTCCGGTTCTATAATTTAGTTGAGATCGAGAAAAAATATTTTTTTTTAAATAAATTATGTTTTTCTTTCTTTATCTTTCCAATTTTTTTGCGTTCTCGAATTGTCCGGTTCCAGAAAGTGACGGAACCAATTACCCGGATTATGCGAGGTATATGTGTATATGTTTTTTTTCTATATTATGCATGTTATCTCTTACGTACTAAACGAGGTATATTCAAAAGTAAATAAAGTTATGTGTACTATATAAATTGGTTTTAAATGTTTAAAATAATGCTAATCCAGACTAGCGTTATATTATTAATATGTAACAACTTGACGATATAAAAATTCATTACAGAATGATGGATTTAGTTCGTAGTCAGAGTGGAAAATTATACAATGAATGTGAAATGGAGAGAGGTAGACCAATTATAATTGCAAAAACATACCTGTTCTTTAGGCATCTCCTGCGGTATTAGGGTGATTGATTGATGCGGAACGAGGGTGAGATTGCCGATGTGCGATCGTTCCGACCATTTGGCTAGGGTCGACCTGACGCGACGTTCTTCCCTTTTGTCCACGACCATTTGGAGTGTCACCTCCACGTGGGACGACTCCGACCTAGGCACATACAAACACGTATTACATATAGAATGGGAGGATATACATCAGAGCATGAGAATGAATGGGAGGATCAAATAAAAATTTCACAAGTGCCTTCGTTTCAGAAAAGCCAAGCCATCCTTACACAAAGCCGAACGCAAAAGGTCAATCGATACACAAAAACAGACAATCCACCACTTTGACTCCTGCATGGCAAACAGGAGCACCGGATTTGCATAATATTAAGCGTCGTCCATCCAAGCCTTCGTTTCGGTTTTCAAAGAAAAGCAATTTTCTCCCCTTTCCTAACACTTTTCTTTGTTGTCTCCTTTATTTTTAAATGAGGTTTTGTTTCTAACAAATAGAATAAGCTAAATGTAATTACTCACCCCAGCTGCGATGCTCGCACATCGCGGATCGAGGGTGCTGCATCTCTGAGCAACTTGGCAATCTGGAAAGGAGTTTTATTTGTGTTATAATGTACAAGATATATGTAGTCCCTTTCTCTTTCTCATAACTGAATGTATTTCTCGTGTTTGGCGCTATAACTGAAATTTAATCTGCTTTCGCTCCCCAAGGGCAATTAAATTACATTTTGATGTTTCAACTGGGAATGTTTATACCCATGTATTATTCACTCGATCTCTCACATCTATCAAACTTTCATGTTTATAGATTTCATGTTTACAACGAATCTACTCTGCTTTATTTATCTTATAATCTGTACTGATGAAAATCTTCTATTTGTTATTCGTCTTCTCAAATATTTTTTTATTCTTAAATAACCTCATCCTAACCATTAATAACCTTTAAATATAAAATTACATTGATAACTAAAATTTACACATAATTAATAATAATGTTGAACGTTTTTCCAGTCTGTAGATAATAATATTGATAAATGATGTGGCAAAATCACTCAACTCTTCTTATATCGATCTAACGCTTTGTGAAAGTTAACTACTGTTTTGAGCGGATTCTAATTGAATAGGTGACCAGAGTCTTTACAAATTTTAGGACTTATAAAATGACTCAAATCGACTAAATTTCCAATAATTCCACATAGAAGTTCTAATTAAATATTACAGATTTATATTGATTATTAAGTAATATACTATGAGCTATACTTATATGAAGTGCAGATGATTTCGCTTAATTGGGACACATCGATACTAGTACATTTTGTCCCCATTAAGTAGCTGACCCAATTATCTGAAGTTTCACAAAAAATACTATACGCTTATAAATAATGATGTCAAATAGAAGCACAAATAGACACACGCTTCCCGAAAAGCGGAGTCATTTTTTGTTATTTCCTAGGATTTGTTTTCGTTTTGTAAGATTTATCCCTAATTAGCGGCTGTCCCGATTAAGCGGAATAGACTGTATTGTATTTGACACTAACTACTCAATACATTGAATAATATTTGGTTGGTAGCTAGTTGATAAACAAAAATTTCAACGATGTAAAATAGAATATGATTATGATTAGTTTCTACAATAACTAGTAACACATAACACGTTTCTTGATATGTAAACTTGGCAAGTACAATAAATACCAAACTTGGCTTTGAATTTATATAAAATAAAGTAATCTCTCAAGTTGTAAGCTTGAAATGAAACTTGATGTTTAAATTTGCCATTTTGGATAAGTACATATAAACCATATACATCTTCGCTCATTTTATTTCTAGAAAATCAAGTAATTTATCGCAAATATTGGGAAATTGATAAGCTGAAAGTGACGCACTTGCTGTAGTCTTCTTAAAATAATTGTAAGTATCTCTAAAATGATGATTTAATTTAAAGTTTATGTGAATTAGGAAAGCTTTAGAGGATTATCACAAAATCGATGTTCACTTAGTCCAACGTAATAGTTGAAGCTAAGTTCGTGTAGGTCTGACGGGGGACGTCTAATACTTCATTAATGTTCAATTGATTTAGCCACACTTAAGACAAGTTGGATCAGGAAGGAAGCAAGGATGGAATTTTAACGTTTTCGTTTCGCATCCGCGAATTATTCGATCCGGGGATAATCTCTAATGAAAGAGCAAATCCCTTTATACGGCGAACAGGCGTAAGCCGCATAATCAATGCAATTACATAACAAGTGCTCTCGTGTAATATGGTTAAAGGACAACTGAAGTTTACCAACCAGAAATTCAAGTACGTTGTGATGGATCTATATCAAAATCCCGATAGTATCAACATCCTGACAAGCATAATTTTGAGAGTATCAAAATCCCGACAACCATAATTCAGACAGTATCCAAATTCCAACAGATATTATTTGTTATATTCTTATTAATAATAAACATTAACAATAAGAAACAATCTAAAATACAATTAGATTATTAATTGTTGTTATTTACTTCGTAAGTAGAGGATTTTGATACTGTCACGATTATAGTTGTCGGGATTTCGATTGCCACCGTTCAAGTTTACCAACTACAAATTTAGGTATGTTGTGATGGATTTAAACACATGCGTTGGAAGAAATATAAAAAAAGAGGTTTGGGAATTGAATGCGGATGCGTTATAGGTGCGTGGGGGATAATCAGATTTGCAAATCGTGGATGGTTGCAAGAGGCGGTAGTGTAACGAACTAAAACGCGCCTCGTGCGGATTGTCGACCGCAAACGTTGATCGTCGCCGGGTCCCACGCAGCAGCAGCAACGGAACGAAAACCGCCCCCGTTTTCCTGCCGCCGATACAAACCACCGCCACTGAAGTGGCGGCTCTCCATCCCCCACGGCACCCAACACCACCGTATATACAACAACCTCGTTAATTACTGGTCCCCCAACGGATGGACCGTGGATGCATATTTTACGTTCGGTCTAACCATCCCGTCACAACTCACCCCCAAACGTTCTACGTGCGCCAAATACACAAACTCTCCTTATGGCAGAGGGCGCGCTGCCATC